AACTTGTGTGAGTTTCTCCGGAAACTGCTTTTATACCTTGCCGCTACCGGCGCTTGACATAGCAAGACAATTAGTTGTGACGAACGGCGAAGGATTCAAGCCTTTTTCCACGTAGGTCCGCCCATTTCCGCCATATTTGCCCCGAGGCTGTGTTTACCTCTGACGTCGGACCTTTGTTTCCCCGACATTCCATCCCGCAGGTGTGTTTCTCGCTCTGACCCGGCAGTTATAACCATATAAGGATATCTATTTGTAGAGGGACGTCGGGCGGTTCTAGTCAAGTGGGGTCATGGCTGGTTATTGATCGCCGTACCCCTCAAATGAAGGGGGCGGAGCTACAATTGTTTAGGGCCACTCATTAAAACTATCGATGTCCCAAAATAGCACAACTGTTGCGTAACTGTAAATAATCTGAAATTTGTTTGATTTAGGACCTAGTTTATTTTACCAACTTGACTTTGTCGCTAGTGAAAATAAATTTCATACATCACTTAAATAGCATGTAAAAAGTACTTGTGACTGTTCTCTATTAACGTTATTGTCATATTCGGGGAATGGTAAAAATGCCCCACGTAATATACACGCGTGCGGGGGCGTGCACAAACACACTACAAGTTCAAGAGTGTAAAAAAAAGCACTTGTAACACTGGTTCTCTCCTACTCTGCCATATTCGGGGAAGTAGCGCTCGAGAAAATGTCCCGCGTAATATACACGTGTGCGGGGGCGTGCGCAAACACACTACTGGTTCAAGGATGAGATATTTTGCTTCACAAGTTCACAACAACAACCCACGCCATGTCGCGTATGATTTCATGAGATCAAACTGCGCCTTTGACTTGCTTTGACACCCACAGTGTCTGGCATTACATCGGCATTACATAGCTCCTTCTAGCCTAAATAAACAGGTAATGCTTAGACTTACTACAACATACCACCACAGTGTAGTAACGGTAATGGTCTCGTCTGCGTACCTTTCTGTTCAAAAGTTGACATTCTCAAAGTCGCGGCCACAGAATTCTCTATATATGTTATAATTTGTGTGTTTTGCTATTCCAGCACCAAAGTAATGAGTTTAATGAGTAGTATCTATATTCTCTAGTGGATAGGCCCAATTCGATAACACGTTATCATCATTCAAGTTTCTCATTGAGTATTTGGAAATTTAAAAGTTTGATGTAATTTCCTTTCATAAGTTCTTATGATCTTAAGTTCCTGGGGGGGGGGGGCTGATACGTCGCGTGAATTTGCTAAGTACTGCACCTAGCCTCTGTAACAGGCTTATAGAACTGGGGGTTTGCTGGTCTGATTTCTGATTAGCCCATCAGTTCTAAAAACGAATTCAACCAGGCCGGCTATGTTGTCTAATGCAATCAGAAAATAGCACATAAAAACTCCCAAAGACCCTGAAGACCCCCCAAACCCCCAGTTTTTGGCATGCTATGGAGGCTACTGCACATACTACTACTAGTAACTAGCATTGCTACTGCGTTGTATCGTAATGGAAAAATCTCCAAAGCAGATTTTTTAAATCAAATACTGTACATTGCCAAGACAGGATCCAATACGCCACCCGGCTGGTAAAACAAAAAGTACCGGTAAAAAATTAAAAAAACGCATAAAAATAAGCCGGTGCCTAAACCTCTGCTTGGAGTGTAGTGTATCGGGCGTCAGTGTTGTCAATCTTGAGAAAGTGATACAATCGCAAAGTACGTGTATAGCGATGATAAGATCTTTGTCTGCCAAAGGTTGGTTTGTCTGGTAAGTGTCCGTTCAAGTCACTGTATGCACTTAAGAAACTGTGACAGGAGACAACGCCCAAAGCGGTGTCTGTCTTAGATTCTGTTAGGAGATACGGTCGGCAGGTCTGTGCACCTGGGAGGTAACATCTATTACGTTAGAGTGGAACAAAGGCGGATGTCTGATAATCTTACATTAGGCCACAGCAAGTAATTTTTATGGATGACATCAGCGCGCGCATTAATTTTTGCCTGATTTTGGAAAAAAAAATTGTTGCCTTCTGACAGAGGTCATCATGCCGAAAATGGGCAAAGATGTCGGTTGCCATACCGGAAGGTGGATGGCAGCTAACTATGAAGAGAGGAGACAAGAAAAGGCTCTGATTTGATGTTACTTTGAAGCATATGTGATGTGTGATGGTGGCTGTGTATATGTGATGTTCCCACTGAATAAAAACCATTTGTCCAATGACTTGAGTCAAAATTTGAAAATGTAGGAACCTTGTTTTTTCGGCCTGTCTTGTTTTTTTCCCGCCCGCTCGCATTAGATTTGGAGTCTGCGGAGGATGTCATCCATAAAATATACTTGCTGTGGCCTTACGCGATGTACGTACATACTCGCAATCCGACATCCGATCAACTGCATGTATTAGACAGGCAGGGCAAGTCGTCTCCTTTAGAGATTGGTCAAAATCATGAGGGAATGACTGATATAAAGGTACCCAAAATAATTTCATCATGATCAGAGTCGTAAAACTGAATTTTGTTCATCCAGAATATATTTTTGTGTTCTGTCTTTATAAAAAGACCGTAAATACAAGTAAGTAAGACCGCAAATACAAGTAAGCAAGTAATGAACTAGCATATATATATAGGACTATATAATGTCCTTGCTACACTTTTTAAATTGCATTTTAATGCATTTTTTTACTTTCCTGCATTTTTCCAGGAGACTGACACATTTCACAATTCAAAAGTCGGTACTATCTCGTGGCAAATTGAATTGTTCCGTTTTCATATTTGTGGATATTTGTTTTATCAAAATATATTTTAACATTCAATCATTCCGCTTCAAGTCCGTGTAATACAAGAGGATGACTATTTTCACGACTTTCTATAAAAAATGCGAGTCAGTCATGTTGTTGTTGTTGTTGTCATTGTTTTATTATGGGTTCACCACACCACGAAGTGGTGTGGTGAAACCATATTGCTTTTTCTGATGTTTCTTCTTCTTCTCCTCCTCCTCCTCCTTCTCCTCCTGCCATTTTTTAAATGGATTCAGCTTCTTCATTTTAGGGCCCAAGGTCCTGAAATTTGGTATGGAGGTACAGTGGGCAAATACCCCTAGGCGTTTTTTAAATTATTGTGATACAGGCTTTTAGAATGGTTTTATTTGAGTTTTTTGGCTGTG